CCATATTTTATTTATCCATTCACCAGTAATGGATATTTGGATTGTTTCCACTTTTTGGCTATTATGAAAAATGCTGCTGTGAACATTCATATACAAGTTTTTGAGTGGATACATGTTTTCAGTCCTCTTGGGTATATACGTAGGAGTGCAACTGCTGGGTTATATGATAGCTCTATGTTCACCCTTTCGAGAAACTGACAGACTAGTTTCCAAAGTGGCTATACTATTTTACATCCCCACCAACTGTGTATGAAGGTTCAGATTTCTCCACTCAGTGTTATTTCAATAGGTTTCTGCTTTCAGTTTGGAGACTTCATTTGGTAAATGCCCATAGGGTCAGAGTTCAGAACATCAGCTAGCACAGTGCTTAGGTCTGATAATGATGACAATGATAGCTAACATGTATGGAGGCCTTCCTATGTGCTGGGCACTGTTGTGCAGTATCTCATTTAGTCATCATAGCAGTCCTCTGGGATAGGTAGTGCCATTAGAATTTTAAAGATGGAGAAAGTGAGGCTTGGAGGGATTAACTACTATAGCACACAGGTGACACAGATGGTAGATGGCAGAGCCAGGACTCGAACTCAGGTCCTCCTGACTTCACTGCCCATATTTTTGAAAACCATGCCATTTGGATAAGCTCAGTATCATGTACATTTGAAATTGTCAACATGCTGGATAAAGTAACAAATTACTAAGATGATACTACATTATTTTTCCTTTCAATCAACCAAAGTGACAGTTATAGAAGTATCTTGCACTGGGCCCTGCTGCCCTGGCCCTTTGTAATCATCCAGCATCCCTCCCGAGTCTTTCGCATTCCCAGCAGAGCCGAGGCATCGAGCCAGGATGAGAAGCCAGGGCTGGACGAGAGCCACTTGATAATTCCACGCAGATGGCTACTTCAACCAGCTGTTGAACCTGAGGCATTATCACCCGAAACTAATGCAAACAGAAGGGCTCTGGGCACTGCTGTGGCAGGGACAGTTTTGTCCTTTAGGATTACAGAGTTGTATCACTCACACTTTTATTCTCTTTTGAATTATAAAACAATATGTGCTCAGTATAAATGGTTGGAAAATTCAGAAAATTAAAAAGAAAAAGACTTTCCCCAAATCTCAACTCCTCAAAACAACCACTGTTAATATTTTGTTGTATATACTCATAGTCTTTTTTCCTCTATGCATTAAAAACATAATTGATTTTTTCTGATTAAAAAGTAATACATTATAAAATACAGATAAAATATTATATACTATCTCCACATTCATTAGTAGTCACTATTAACATTTTGGTATATATCATTTAAGTGTCGTTTTTTCCTGGATATGTGTGCATAACCAAACCAAACCTGTTGCCATTGAGTCAATTCTGACTCATAGAGACACTAGGGGACAGAGTAGAACTGCCGCATAGGGTTTCCAAGGAGCAGCTGGTGGATTCGAACTGCCGACCTTTTGGTTAACAGCTGAGCTCTTAACCACTGCGCCATCAGGGCTCCTTCTACCATTATCATTCTGTGAAATACTTAATATGATTGAGATCACAGTGTACATTTGAGCTTAGCCAAAAGATCAAGAACAGTAGCCCACACTGTATATTACCATTTGTATCCTAAATTCCCCTCTCAGGTTTCTATTAATATTGTGTTGTAATGTTTTTCCTGTGACATTCAAACTCCTTGTAAACATCATTTTAAATAAGTGTGCAGTCTTATATTGCTCAGCATACCCTAATTTACTGAGCCATTTCCCTTTTGTAAGTTATGACTTTTTCTAGTTTTTCCACATTTTATGTAAATTTTAAAAAAATCTCGTGTGAAGTATTTTTTAGTATTTCAAATATTTCTTAGGGTTCATTCCCAGGATCCAATAGGTCTAGCTATTTTTTTCTTAATTATAAAATACTTCAACATAAAGAAGTGACAAACTTCCCTGAACTCATCAATCATCTTTTAAGGTTTACACACCCTTCTGTTTAGCTAGCTTAATTTTCTTTTTTATTGATGTATAACTTCCATGCGGTAAAGGGCATATATCTTTTTTTTTTATTGTTATTTATTTTCTCTCTCTCTTTTTTTAAAATATTTTATTGTACTTCAGGTGAAGGCTTACCAAACAAATAATTTCTCATGAAACAGTAGTACACATGTTGTTTTATGACATTGGTTAACAACCCCACAACATATTAACCCTCTAAATTCTCAACCTTTTTTTTTTTTTTTGGTGAAAATACACACAGCCAGAGATACACCATTTCAAAAATTTCTACATACACAGTTCAGTGACATTGACTATGCTCTTCCAATTGTGCTGTTATTCTCATTTAAGATGAAGGCTTACAGAACAAAATAGTTTCTCATTGAACAGTTACTACAAATGTTGCCCTATGACAATGGTTAACAATCTCACAACACATCGACAATATCCTTACTCAACCTTGGGTTCCCTATCACCAGCTTCCTTGTCCCCTTCTGCCTTCTGGCCTTTGTCACTGGACTCCTGTACCTCGTTAGTCTCATTTGGTTTTACAGGGGTGTCCACTCCCAGGCTGAACAGTGAACCTCAGAGGTAACTTCACCACTGAGCTAAAAAGGGTGTCTGGGGGCCGTACTCTCGAGGTTTCTCCAGTCTCCTTTAGGCCAGTAAATCTGGTCTTTTTTTTTTTTTTGTGAGTTAGAATTATTCTCTACATCCTTCTCCAGCTCTGTCCAGAACCCTGTGTTGTGATCCTGGTCAGAGCAGTCAGTGGTGGTAGCCGGGCACCATCTAGCTGTATGGACTCCGTCTAGTGGAGGCCTTGGTAGCTGTGGTCAATTAGTCCTTTGGACTAATCTTTTCCCTGTATCCTGTTCTCTTCATTCTCCCTTGCTCTAGAAGGGATGAGACCAGTGGAGTATCTTAGCTGGCCGCTCACAGGCTTTTAAGACCCCAGACACTACTCACCAAGGTAGAATGTAGAGCATTGTCTTTATAAGCTGTGTCATGCCAATTGAGCTAGATGTTCCCCGAGACCATGGTCCCCACAGCTAAAGGGCATATATCTTAAGTGTCCACCTTAATGCGTTTATAGGTGAGGTTGGCCTAGATTTTTTTCACTGTACCATTTTAATCTAGTTTTGATATCAAGGTTATTAAAAAACAAAACAAAACTCATTGCTGTCAAGTTGATTCTGACTCATAGTGACCCTATAGGACAGAGTAGAACTGCCCTATAGGGTTTCCAAGGAGTGCCTGGTGAATTCGAACTTCCAACCTTTTAGTTAGCAGCTGTAGCTCTTAACCACTACGCCACCAGGGTTTCTCATCAAAGTTATAGTATCTCATAAAATGAATTCTGAAACAATTTTTAAAAAATAAGGATTATCTGTTATTTGGTAGAACTCACCTATAAAACTGTTTGGGCCTGTTGCCTTTGTGGGACTGAAAAAGGAACTACATTCCTATATAGACAACTCAATTTCTGTAACACTTATTGATTTGTTTTTTGTTTTTTAAATACGTTTTGATAGTTTATATTTTTAAGACAAGTATTCATTCCAATTTAAAAAAATCTTACTATATTTGCATTATGACTCCCTTTTCATTCTTAATGTTACTCATGTCTTTTGAGCTGAACGCTTAACTCATTTATTCTTAGTCTTACATTTTTTTAGTGAATGCATCTAAGGCTATAGATTTACTTACATCAAAACTTACAAGTTTTGTTATGTGGCAATTTCATTGTTATCCAGGTCTAAATACTTTTTTGTTGTTGTTGTGATTTCCTTTTCTCCCATGAGCTATTTAGAAGTCCATTTTTATATATACGTATATATTTAATTTTATTTATTTTGTTGTTGAGAAAATACACAACAAAACATACACCAATTCAGTAGTTTCCACATGTACAATTCAATGATATCGATTATGTTTTAGAAGTCTGTTATTGATAATAAATGTTTTAAGGCTCTTGCAAACAGATGCTAAATCATTTTCTTAAAAGCTGTGCCATTTTACACTTCCACAAGCCATGTGGATACCAAGATTGCCCTGGATGATGTCTCAAAAGCAAACAAATAACCTATGTGCTATAGAGCCTGTTTGTATGTGCTGTAACTGCAGTCTAGGGAGTCACTATAATAAAGAGGTTAGAGTGTGGGCTCTGGATTCAAGTTCTGACCAAGCCACTTAGTAAATGTAGTCTTTGGGCAAATAACTTAATCTTTCTGTACCTCAGCTTCCTCCTCTGTGAAACAAGGCTAATAAAAGAGTATCTGTTTTGTAGAGTTGTTGGGAAGTGTTTAGCACCTAGTTGTCATTTAATAAACATTACTACTTTTTTCAATCAATCAAATTGGTGCTGATTTTACCAAATATTTTTATTTATACTTTCAGTGTTACCATGAGTAACATAAAACTCTGGGTTTCTGGAAAGTAAAGATCCACATTCCAAACAGCTGTGTTATACCTGCATCCCAAACATGTTCATCTCTCTTTCAAGTTCCTGCAGACACATAGAGACAACACAGGCATCCACAGACAAGACTGTCTCATTTCACATTACACATGCAAACAGTAGATATCCTCACAAAAACACACTCAGCCAAGCACAGAACCCACAGATCCAGGTCCACACTCACGCTTCTGCACACTCCCCACAAAGATGGATCCATCGCCCACAGATAGAGGGACGCACTCACAAATCCCACTCAGCCTAGCAGCCCGTAGATAAATCACAAGCCACCTGCAGTGCCAGCCCTGTGCAAAGCATCCAACAGCACAAACCCCTATCCATCAGCTCCAGTATGGGCAGGGGGCTTGTTCTTACTTCCTTTCGGTTGATTTTATTTTAGGTGTTGTTGTTCTACTTCTTAGAGTTATCATCTGCCCCTCTTTCTCCCTACCCAGCCCCCAAGCCTTTTCCAGTCCTCCATTGCGCATGGGCCCTGCATCCCTCCCCCACCTGGGTACCAGTCGGTGCTCCCCGGCCCTGCCGGCGGAAGAGATGGAGCAGCGTCACGAGCGCCCAGCCCCTTAAAACGCTGCTGGCTGGAGCCGCCTCCCTCCCTGCAGCCCGCGGCGGGGATGGAGTAAAGGGAGATCCGTCGACCTGCCCGCGGGGATCAGCGATGGAGTTAAAGCAATCCTTGTCCACCCATCTGGAAGCTGAGAAGCCTCTGAGGCGCTATGGGGCGGTGGAGGAGACAGCGTGGAAAGCGGAGGGACTGGGGAGAAGTGAGTACTCGGGCGCGGGGACTGTTGGGGTGCCGTGCACCTAGCCGGTGGTCGCCAAAGCGCGGGGAACGCAGGGAGCGAGGGAAGCGCCCCCGCGGCGGCGCTTTTTGCCCTCGGGGGGATGCGCCGCGTTGCCGACGCGCTATCTGCGGGAACAAAAGGGGGACCCTCCGGCCTGGGCTTCACGGGGAGACTCGGGAAATCGTCAGGCACGCTAAGCCGGGAGCCTCGGCTGGACTCTCAGTCTCGGATCCGCTAGCTCGCAACTGGTCTAGGAAAGTAGACTCTTTCCCGCAGCCAAGGGAGGAGGGTCCTTTCGCAGCCGGGATGCGCTAGGGCGCTTGAGCTGTAGAACCGTCCTCGGCCCTGGAAAGGGGGGAGTGTCCGCTAGGTTTCCGCCTTGCTTTCCGCCGGCGCGAGGTTCAGGGCACACCTGAAATTTCCAGCTTTCTTTCCCCCCCTTCTCCTGGGTCTGGAGGAGGTGGGGAAAGCGGTAGGGGAACGTTAACCTTGTGCACACTCTTCTCCGTTCTCCCGACTCAATTGGGTCTAATCCTAGAACGCATTTCAGAAACAGACCAGCTGTGTCTGCTCATCCTCTCTCTCTCTCTCTCTCTCTCTCTCTCTCTCTCTCTCTCTGTGTGTGTGTGTGTGTGTGTGTGCGTGCGTGCCAACAACATTTCCAAATAAACGAAGGATTTTCATTTTTAGTTAATAGGATGCAACAGTTGAAACTCCTGCCCTCAAAGTACAGAGGCAACCAGAGGGGCACTAGGGTCCTGAGTCCTCTCTGCAAACCCACGGGGCTTCCCAGTGCCCGCGCCCTTGCATTTCGCGCCCTAGCACACTGCATCCTGCCAGGCTGGGAAAGGCCCTCTAGCCCTTCTCAAGGAGCCTGCAGCTGCCGGCCTTGGCTTTAGATAACTGCTCAGCGCTCTTACCCACACCAATCCCAGAGCTGTGTTGGGCCAAAGTATTGTGAATCTGCTTTTTTCCTGTCCCTGGTAGAAAATGGTGTGCGTGTGTGTGCATGTGCATGAGTGTGTGCTTTCTCTACACCTAAAATTAAAAATTCAGAAAATCTTTCTAGAATGGCTCAGCTGTATGTATTCTGCTTTTGATGGGTCCAAGTTGAAATCACAACCAAATGTCTTAGTGCTTCACCTGATGGATGGCATAGGACTCTCCACCTCTCGCCTTGTCTTTTCTTTCCTGTCTCTGACTTCTTTTAGACCTGTGTCCTTCTCGCCTGTTTCATCCTTTCAACACCCTTTGGCTTTGGTGCTCTCGTCTGTCTGTCATCAGGGCTGAGGAGTTCTGTTTCCTTCTATTGATAGATTACCATGTGCCAAAGTCCCTGGGTGGCTCAGATGATTAAGTCCTTGGCTGCTAACTGAAAGGCTGGTGGTTCAAACCCACCCAGAGGCACTCTGAAAGACAGGCCAGGCATCTGCTTCTGAAATGTCACAGCCTTGAAAACCCTGTGGAGCAGTTCTACTATGCACACATGGCAACAACTATGTACCTGTGCTAAGAAATGCATTATCTCCTTTAATCCCTATAACGACCTCCTGAGATGAGTTTTATGACTTCCCTTGCACAAATGAAAATACTGGGACTTGTGAGGTGATAGGACTATTAAGTGGCAGAGCCAGAACTTGAACCCAGAGCCCCTGCTCTTTAATCATGAAGATCTATTGCTTTCATGTTTTTCAGGAACCTTCCTGAGTTTGTGGGGAGAATCCCTGTTGGCCTCTGTGGCCATAGTGGCTTTAGAACTTGAAAGAATGTCAGGGTCTATGCAGAGTAGAAGGAGCCCTGGTGGCCCAGTGGTTAAGAACTTGGCTGCTAACTCAAAGGTCGGTAGTTTGAATCCACCAGCCACTCCTTGGAAACCCTATGGGGTAGTTCTACTCTGTCCTATATGGTTGCTGTAAGTTGGAATCCACTCGATGGCAGTGGGTTTTGGGATTTATGCAGAGTAGAAGCTGTGTTGAAGTAAGCCCTGAATTTGAATCCCTGCTCTGTCCCTTGCTGTCTGTGTGACTTTAGGCACATTTCTAAGCCTTTTTCTGTCTCAGAGGAGCCCTGGTGGTGCAGTGGTTAAGTGCTCGGCTGCTAACCAATAGATCGGTGGCTTGAACCCACCAGCTGCTCCGTGAGAGAAAGGCGTGGCGGTCTGCTTCTGTAAAGATTTACAGCCTTGGAAACCCTATGGGGCAGTTCTACTCTGTCCTATAGGGGTGCCATGAGTAGGAATTGACTCAGTGGTATCGGGTTTGGTTTTTTGTTTTTTCTGCCTCTGTTTTCTGGAAGTAGAGACAATGATAGTTTCTACCTTATAGCTTCATTGTGAATATTAAATGAGAAGATGTATTTGGAGCTCAAGATAAGTGCTCAGTATCTATTGGCTGCTTCCGTTATTTTATTACTACAGCTATAGAAGGAGCCTGCTTTTATCCTTTGCAAAGAATTACAGAAAGCAACACCCTGGACCAAAACGCTAACGGTGGTGAGTTCCCTAGTAACTCTCTTTTAGCTTTTTTTTTTTTTCTCACCATTTTATTGGGAGCATTTTCAAACATACAGAAAAATTGTGGTGATCACCCAATTTATAACATTTTGGCACCTTGAAATTTTTATACTTCTCAGTCTCAGGGTGCAAACTGTTAAAAATCTGGCAGAAAGACTTTCTCATTCCCTCTGTTCCAAGCCGTCAAAGACTCTCGGTTTTGCTCTTTGTTTAAATGTAAGACCACAGTTTCTCATCTGCTTTTGCATAGATCCCCAGATGTGTGTGTGTGTGTGTGTGTGTGTGTGTTTTCCTTTTTACCTATTCAGACTTGAAGTCTTCTTAAAGCATTGATCCAGAGTCCAAATTTGAATCTTGAATCTGGGTTTGTTACCTTTAGCAGTTTTCAATCTCTACACTCTTGTCTACAGCTTGGCATTTTTCTAACAAAGTGGCTTTTTTGAAACTCCTTCTCAACTCCCAGGGCATCTGTTCCATAATGTCTGGGGCTTCTGTCTATTTATTAATGAAGTGTGAAAACTAGTACTGTTGATTCTATGGCTTAACAAATGCCAAGTCAATGTTATAATGCATGATATGCTGGAGACGCGGCATCGTTGTTGTGAGGTGCTGTTGAGTCGGTGGTGACTCCTAGCGACCTTATGTACAACTGAATGAAACACCACTGGATCCTGCGCCATCCTCACAGTTGTTGCCATCTTTGAACCCTTTGCTGCAGCGACTGTGTCAATCCATCTCATTGAAGGTCTTTCTCTTTTTTACTGACTGTTTACCTTACCAGGAGCCCTGGTGGCATGGTGGTTAAGAGCTATGGCTGCTAACCAAAAGGTTGGCAGTTTGAATCCTCCAGCTGCTCCTTGAAAACCCTACGGGTCAGTTCTACTCTGTTCTATAGGGCTTCTATGAGTCAGAATCGACTCAACAGCAACCGGTCTGTTTTTTTTTAATTTTTTTTATTACCTTACCAAGCATGATGTCCTTCTCCAGGGACTGATCTCTCCTGATAATATGTCCAAAGTACATGAGACGAAGCCTCGCCATCCTCGCTTCCAAAGAGCATCCTGGCTGTACTTCTTCCAAGACAGATTTATGTGTTCTTCTGGCAGTCCATGGTATATTCAGTACCCTTCACCAGCACCATAATTCAAAGGCATCACTTCTTCTTTGGTCTTCCTTGTTTAGTGAGACAAGGAGAGACTCATTGAAAAGGAGAAGGCATGCACTCACTTCTACACATATTTAAATATTTTACTTTAAACACTGAGCATGTGTTAATTAAAAAACAGTTGTAAAGGGGAGAAAGATTGCAGAACTGGTTGTTTTTAGTTAAGTTGTATTTAACTGTAATTATAGTTTTTGCTATATTTAATTGTAACTATAGCTTTTAAAAGAAGCCCTCATGGAGCACTGGTTAAGTGCTTGGCTGCTAACTGAAAGGTCAGTATTTCGAAACCACCAGCCGCTCTGTGGGAGAAAGATGTGGCAGTCTGCTTCCGTAAAGATTGCAGCCTTGGAAACCCCACAGGACAGTTGCACTTTGTCCTAGAGAGTCGCTTTGAGTTGTATTCGACTCGATGGCAATGGTTTTCGCCCCGTCCCCCATAGCTTTTAAATAGAAGATATGAAGTCAGGTGAAATGGGTTCAAACCAGTTCTCACACTTTGTAGCTTTGTCACCCTGGAAAAGTGTTCAACCTCTCAGTGCTTCAGTTGCCTCATCTGTAAAATGGGGATAATAATAATCACTACCACTTTGGGCTATTGGGAGGATGAAATGAGATAACGTATACAATGCATTTAGCACAGTGCCTGGCACATTGTAAGCACTCAATCAGTGCTGAATGTGTATCTTAGCCATCTAGTGCTGCTATAACAGAAATACCACAAGTGGTTGGTTTTAACAAAGAGAAATTTATTCTCTCACAGTCCAGTAGGCTACAAGTCCAAATTTAGGGTGTCAGCTCCAGGGTAAGGCGTTCTCTTCTCTGTCAGCTCTGGAGGAAGGTCCTTGTCATCAGTCTTCCTTTGGTTTGGGAGCATCTCAGCACAGGAACCTCAAGGTCCAAAGGACGCGCTCTGCTCCTGGCACTGCTTTCTCGGTGGTATGAGGTTCCATGTGTCTCTGCTCGCTTCTCTTTTTTATATCTCAAAAGAGATTGGCCTAAGACACTATCTAATCTTGTAGACCTCATCAATATAACTGCCACTAATCCATCTTATTACATCACAGTGATAGCATTTACAACACATAAGGAAATCACATCAGATGATAAAATGGTAGACAATCATACAACACTGAGAATCATGACCTAGCCAAATGGACAGATATTTCTGGGGGACATAATTCAATCCATGAAATGCATGTCGTCATAGAGCATAGTGGATGGTGCCCAACAGTACTTGAGGAATTATTCTAAGCTTGCCAGTCACAACTTTCCTTTGTTTCTGTTTCTTTTAAATTCCTGATA